TAACAAAGATTCCCTCCCCCCAAACTGTGCAAGATCGGCACCCGCCGCGAACGTCTCCCGAGACCCCCGAGGCCCGACCCCTCCTCACCCCGTCTCCTTGAAACCCGTCTTGGGTTCCGGATAAGTTGGGGGTCGGCGGGCTTTTATTGATTTGTTTTTAAGGTTCGCCACGGTGCAGCCAATAAAAGGTTTATGACATCTGACCGGCAGTGAAGGTATGCGAGCTCCCAATTGCCCTGGGTGCGCGGAGCTGAGCAGTTTCCCCGTTGCCTGGCAACGCCGCTGATTGACTCAGGAAGCAGCCAATGGTCGCTTCCGCTGGTCCCCTTGAAATGTTTTTGACAAGTACAGTAGACCTGAGTGGAGCGCGTGCGTGCGTGCGCGCGCAGGGCGGCGGGGTGGGGGGGTTCCCCGGGCCCCCCAAACTCCAGACTGCCCAGCTTCACTCGGGAAGAATTTCTCAACTTTTTAAAGTTCACATGGAACATCTGTTCAGAGCTGGGCCATAACGTCTTCGTCAGTTCTTTGGAGACGTTCTGATACCAGGCAAGAAACTCAGATTTTCAGCTGCATTCTCTTCTTTTAAAAAAAAAAAAATAAATAAGTAAAAAAGGAAACAAAATACAAAAAGTGTGTGTGTGTGGGTGTGGGTGTGGGTGTGTGTAGTAGAGGGAATGTAACCAATAACAAGCCTAAAAAGTTGTAAGGAGGTCACTAGTGAAAACTCTTTGCGAATCTGGTGAGCAACCTTATTGGCAGCAGATTAGAAATGTTTGCTTAACTGTGGGCTCACATGATCCAGACTCCCTCCTCCCTCCACAAAATAGGAGGAAAAAAAGATTTGGCGATTATGTAGCGTATAATAATGGAAAACTCCTCAGCTGTGGTTTCTGGGAACTGGGTTTTTTCTTTTCTTTTCTTTTTTTTAACACGAACTAGTGATCAGCAGCCATCCATACTGTTACTATAAAATGAGAGATTTATTGGGATGCAGTTAACAGAGAGTCTGCAGGGAGCACAAAGCAGACAAATGATCATGGGGTATGAACCCCCAAACCCTCTTTTTTTTTTCTCCGACAGTGCCATTTTTTTTTCTAATATAACCACATTGCTTGCAGTGTTTGTTTAAAACAAAAGAAAACATGGAGAATAGCGTGTTAGTTCCTTTGGGAAGCTACTGACAAATAAGCAAATTAAAAAGAAAGAGAGCAGCGTGTTGTCATAGCAACAGTGCAATTAAATTACTTTACTGTCAGCCATGATATAATTTTCCTGTTTGGAAGCTCAGGAGACATAAAACTTTCATTTGGAGCTAAAGTTGACTTCAGTGGCTGGGGTAGATCTCCTTTGTGTGTGCTCTGTGGGTATACTGGAAACCAGGACGGTTTCTGATGGGGACTGAGGAAACTTTTGAGACAAGCCTGGCTTTGATTGGTTCATAAATAAGTTAAGAGCAATAACTGACAGAAATCTGTCATATCCCAGACTTAGAGGTACTAGCTTTTTTATTTTTCTTTAGCATGTGTCATGGAGGACTCAGAGTAGGTCCCTGGTTTGTCAGAAAGAAATGCTCCAGTGGAGGAACCCAAGGCATCTGGTCTGTCCTGCCTGGGTTGGGTGGTGATGCCAGGTTGGAGTTTTCTCTCCTTAGAGATGGATGGGCATCCGGCAGCAGTTCCAGAGAGCTGCCCCTCCCACCTGTCCAGCAGGTTGTCTACCTCAGGGAAGAGGGAAAGTGGTGCAGTTCACTGGCGTCCTTGGCTGGTGGTTTGCTGCCCACATCTCTCTCCCTTTCTAGAAGCCCAAGCTAGAGCTTGCCGTGCTGAAGCGGCAGTTATTTCAGAGGTGGTGGGAATGGACATTTAGAGGCTTAGAATGATTTTGTCTCTGCTTTTGATGTGTTCATTCATTTTTTTCTAGGTAAATTGTTTGATCTTTTTACTCGAGGAAAAAAAAATTAAAACACTTTTCTTAATAAACTAAGCACATTGTTTGCGCAGTGCAAAGGGAGGCTGGAAGACTTTTTGTTACATTTGCTGTTCTAGCTTAGGTGGAGTGCTGGAGGGTTGAATGTACTTTTTATCTGTAGTGGTTGTTCTGTTTGTGATTTGCCACCTCTTTATTTGTTTTTCTCATCAGATATTATTTTACTCCTTGTTCTGGGTCACTGATTAAAATGGGGAGGGAATAGAATACTGTAACAATTTTTGTTGAATTTGTCTTCCTGCCTTGAAGCTGCCAGTTGCTCTTTCCCGACTTTTTTCCCCCCAACCAGTTCCAATTTTAGGTAATGGCTTATCTTTCATTCCCACTTATTTGTCTGAAATAATTTGCTTTTGCATTCTGGGTGTGGTGTCCTAATAAAATTTAATGTGCTTCATACTTAAGTTCAAATCCACAAAATCCTTGCCATCCTCTTCCAACTTGCCAAATGTTATTAAGTTTGCAGTTGTTTTTTTTTTTTCCTTCTAATAGGGATTAAGCCCAGGGGTGCTTAACCACTGAGCCATACCTCTTACCTGCCCCCACCCCCATATTTTTTAGTTGTCAATGGACCTTTATTTTATCTTTTTATATGGGGTGCTAAGAATTGAACCCAGTGCCGCACACATGCTAGGCAAGCTCTGAACCACTGAGCCCCCACCCCAGCCCCTGCCCCTAGCCCTTTTTATGTTTTATTTTGAGACAGGGTCTCATTAAGTTGCTTAGGGCCTTGCAAAATTCCTGAGGCTGGCTTTGAAAAGTTTGCAATTTTTGATCATGACTTTTGGGGGGAAGGAATTGGTTAAAAGAACCAAATCAATGGTCCCTGGGGCCACAGTTTTAATTCTAAGGCCCTTGTAATGATCTTTATATAGAAATGGCTGAACTTAATCTTGAACAATTGGCCTTAAATTCATATTTATTTATTTTTTTTTCATTTTAGCTGGGAGCAGTGGCCGCACACCTGTTATCCCAGCTATGCTCTGGTTAGCCTGGGCATAATAGTAAGATCCCATCTCAAAAACATAATAAAATAAATACAAATAAAAATAAATGCTATAAGTGTTTTCCTTTTTTTTTTAGAAAAATAAACAGACTGATTGCACAAAGCCTTTTTCCTTTGTACTTATTTTGTAGTTAATCATGAAACTCCAAAGAATTTTCTATATTATACTTTTGAGTATTTTGGAGAAAGCAGGATACCAGGTAATAATTGATTTCCCCCAGGACATGGCGAGAGCCTTTGAAGGTCTGAGGGTGATGGTGAATTTCTTATCCTTTTTGTGATTTATTTGCACCTTAAAGATGGTGTCAATGTTTTCGGTTGGGTTAAGGGGTATCAGATCACCCTGCTGTTGAAAAGGTGGACTGATGTTTCTTACTAGCGTATCTCTGTGTGGTGGGTTTGTGGGTTTGTGTGGCTCAGTGTGGGAGTCATGAGGTGGTGTCCCTATGGAGCCGGACCCAGAGAGGAGGCTGGGGTGGGCTGAGGGAGTGGGAGAATTAGGGCCTCCTCTGCCTTTGTGTTTTTGAGTTTGACCAACGCCTCTGTCTTTGCCTTCTCTCTCCCAGGAGCCTTCACGTAAATGGGTCCAGTCATGCCTGCCAGTAAGAAGCCAGAAAGCTCAGGAATTAGTGTGTCCAGTGGACTGAGTCAGTGTTACCGGGGCAGTGGTTTCTCCAAGGCCCTTCAGGAAGACGATGACCTCGACTTTTCTCTGCCTGACATCAGATTAGAAGAGGGGACCATGGAAGATGAAGAGCTGACCAACCTGAACTGGCTGCATGAGAGCAAGAACTTGCTGAAGAGCTTTGGGGAGTCGGTCCTCAGGAGTGTCAGCCCCGTCCAGGACCTGGACGACGACACCCCTCCCTCCCCAGCCCACTCTGACATGCCCTATGATGCCAGGCAGAACCCCAACTGCAAGCCCCCCTACTCCTTTAGCTGCCTCATATTTATGGCCATCGAGGACTCTCCAACCAAGCGCCTGCCAGTGAAGGATATCTACAACTGGATCTTGGAACATTTTCCGTATTTTGCGAATGCACCTACTGGGTGGAAAAACTCAGTGAGACATAATTTGTCATTGAATAAGTGTTTTAAGAAAGTGGACAAAGAGAGGAGTCAGGTAAGCCTCATGTGTCTGGAACCCGTTTATGACCTATTTTTTTGTCCACCAAAAAGCAGCTCGTATCTACTACATTGAAGTGTAGGGGTTTATAAATGCCTGTTTTTGTTTGTTTGTTTGTGGTTTACTTTGGCTCATTTAGGTAGTTGCGAAGACTTCTGTTTCCTTAACCTTATGAGTTATGTGCTCTTTTTCGTCTTCATGCTGTCAAGAAGTTCCCACTGATGGCCTTTCTCATACCCAGCCGTGGTTCACAGAACCAAGTGGTTCTCAGTATCGCCCCTTCATGTGGATGGGTCACTAGAGTTCAAACAAAGATCTGTATTCCAAGTGCACCCACTGACCATGAGGTTTCTGTCTGGAGGACATTGGCCTCCTGTTGCCACCAAGATGTAGAGAAAAATTATTTTTTTTTCCTGAATATTCAAAAAGACCACCTCCCCAGGATTCTGGAATAAATGGACATCAAGAGACCTTGGGAGGGTACTTGAAGGTACTTATATACTCCAAGACAAATCAGGGACCTGAGTTGCCAGAGGACGTTTATGAAATCTGGAGTTTGGCAACTTTGAAACTCCCTGGGCAAAATTGGCTCAGGGTAAGGGTCCCATTACAGAAGGACTGTTAAAAACAGTTGAATTTTGACTTTAAATTCTTAGCTTGGGCTTCGTGGTTGGCTAAGAGAAGACGATTTTAATAAGTTGCTTTACTTTTCTGGTAAGGAATATAATAGGTGGCGCCAGAGATAGGATCCACCCAGTGGAGAAACAAAACCTGATCTAACCTGGCGTTCTGGAAAGCCGTGTTGCCGCAGTTAAAATAAATTGCCAGAAAAAGTTCCGTCCGCAGTTTCATGTCACTGTGCTTTCCAGCCCTGGTGTCCTGCTGTTCATACGTGTTCAAGTGTGGGGCCTGCGGCTGTGCGGGGTTGGGGTCCTTCCATGTCTTTCTCTCCAGAAACATGGTTTTGTTTCAAGGAGAATCTGGAGCCTGAGAACATTCCGCTTGATTCTTTGTCATTGACGTGGAAGGAGACTATGCATAAGGAGGTGGGACAGCCAGGGTTGTGCTGGCTCTGGCTGGGCAAGTGTGTCTGTTCCCCCAGAGTGTACATGAGGTGGGGATGGGGACGCGGGGTGGAGTGGTGGTGTCGGGGAGAGGAAGGATGTGGTCGCCACGGAGTCTGACTCTGATGGGATGGAGTGTGCAGATGTGAACGTTGGTCTTCGGGGCTCTCCTTCCTTAGGTCCTTATTTTTATGTAGCTGTAACAACCTCTGTGCCAGTTTAAATGAAGGAGAAGTCCCGAGTCCGAGAAGCCCGCACTTGTCCTCCATTATCTACTTCCTCCTTCCCTTTCTTTTTTTTTTTCTTCTTGGAACTGGGAATTGAACCCAGGTACACTGTACCACGGAGCTGTTTCCTCAGTACTTGTTAGTTTTTGAGATAGAGTCTTGCTAAGTTGCCCAGACTGGCCTTGGGCTTGCAATCCTCCTGCCTCAGCCTCCTGAGTGGCTGGGATTACAGGTGTGGGCTTACCAAGCCTTCCCTCCATTTTTCAGATTGGCCATTTGGAGACTGGCCTCTGGACTCCGCTCTTTTGAGTGTTTGAAGTTATTCTAGAAACTTAGGAGACTTATCTCTCCCCTGTAAAGATCCAGCCTGTGAAACTAAAGGCTTCTTATTGGTGGGTCCTTATGGCAAAAAAGGGGAAGGTCTGAGCAGGCAATTCCAGAGCTAGACTGTTGAGAAGGAAGTGCCCACCAGGACCTCAAAGCCTCTGTCCCTGATAAAGCAGTGGACAGGGCTTTTAGCTTGGTGTACACGATTCTGCAAGTTACAGCATTTTGCCATAATGCGGGTGCACATAAAGGTAACTCAGCAAATGCGCAGTCTGAAATGTTAAACACCAACTCCAAAGTGAGCTACCAGACTGTGAGGATTATTCATCCTGGAGCCCTGGGAGCTGCAAGCTGGTGTTGGGTGGTGTGTGTTACAGCTCACCTGGAGTAACTCCCACCTACCCCCACCTCCACCCACCCCGCCCGCACTGGATTCTGGGAGTCTTGTTTTCTGGGGGTGATGGGTGTCAATCTGGATAAATGCACATAGGGTTTGTTGAAAGGGCGTGGTTTTAAGGATCTGAGATTGCTAATCTTGTGAAATGTTGAGTGCTGGCTTCCTACCCATGCTGACCTGCATGGACATGTTTCTGATCAGTGCCAGTCAGTTTTGTGGTTGGGAGTTTGTTCCCAGCCTTAGTGATGCTGTGAGAACAAGGCTAGAGTTGTGTTTTTCCTCTCTCCTCTTTTCTGGGGTTACCCTGGGGCCAGCCGGTGGCTGATGAGAGGCACAACTGCCAGGTTTACTTAGGTAACCCAGGTATGCTACGGTGTAGCCAGGTACTTCCAGGGCACTGGCCCCGGGCCTTTCACTTGTGTTTTTTCCCTGGGCTAGCTGAATAAAAGGAAAGGCATTCCCCTGATTGTTTGCCCAGGGAGAGCCCATTGGGCTGTACAGGAACACTTGTTGTTTTTTTCCCAGGGAATTTTTACTTGATGGTGGCTCCCTCCTCCTGTAAATTTCTACCTCAACACAAATACATTCAGACGTTGGTGAGAAATACATTAGAGGAAGATGAACATCAGTGCCTTGCAAGTTAGTTGTACCAAGTTGGCCATTCACTTTTTTTTTTTTTTTTTTTGGTACTGGAGATTAAAGTTAGAGACACTCAACTGAACTACTGGGCCCCATCCCTAGCCCTATTTTGAATTTTATTTAGAGACAGGGTCTCACTGAGTTGCTTAGTGCCTCAACTGTTGCTGAGGCTGGCTTTGAACTTGCGATCCTCCTGCTTCTGCCTCCCAAGCTGCTGGGATTACAGGTGTGTGGCACCGCACCTGGTTCACTTTTTTTCTTAAAGTGGAGAACTTGGTTAAGCTTGGCCTAGCAGTGAGAATGAGGAATCCTGTGTGATCTTGTTCCTGAACACGTACCCTGCTGAACAACTGTTTGACTGGGCTGTTGGAGTAGGAAGGTACTAACTAGATTGCATCAGAATTTCTGGTGGTGTTTAAAAACAATGATCATTGCTCAGAGATAAATGGAGAGTTTGAGTTGGAGGTAGGCTGTGGGAAATTGGTAGTAGAGATAAGTTTCGTGGGCGTTTCTGATGTGTAGCCAGGTTTGAGAATCCCTGAACCAGGGTCCTTCTGGGTTCTCTTCAGGGCTCAGGTTTCACCAAGAACATTTTCTCATGAATAAATCAAAGAAAAAGGGAAGTTTTGCTTTCATTTTTTTAAATCTCTTAAAAGACTTCAAAACATAAGACTTTTATTTTTACTTTTTAAATCATGGACATTTCCAAACATACACAGAAGTAGGGAATACTGGGACTCTGCACCCATCACCCCGGTGACCCACATCCAGATTCAACAGTTAATGAGGACCTGCCTTGCTTCATTCATTCTTTGTTGCTGCTGCTGCTGAAATATTTTGAAGCAAATTCTAGATCTCATGTCATTTTTTTCCAGCATATTTCAGTATGTGTATGAATAATTGATAATTTCTTAGACAGTCACATTGCCTATGTCCCCAGAGCAGAATTACCAGTTCTCTGATGTCACCCAATACTAGGCCCATATTCAGATATCCCTGATTATTTACAAAATGTTTGTTAAATTAGGGTCCAGACTCGGTTTATGAGTTGCACTTGGTTGTGATGTTCCCTTAAGGTTTTTAGTGGCCAGCACCGCTGTCCCCTGCTCCCCTTTCCGTGCCCTTGTTAAAGACATCCATTACTTGGCCTCGTGATTTCATTTAACTGGCTTCTCCACCCCTCCCTGAAGTCTGGATCACATTCTGACTTCTGGGTCCCTCGTCCCCGAGAACGTCATGTACAGATGGTGTCATGTCTGTCCTGAAGCCTGCTTGCCCTGCTCCAGGGAGGCCGAGGTCAAGCCCTGGGTTCACGTGAGGTCAGCCGCTCTTGACTCTGTAAAGTTCCACGTCTGCCTCTCATCTTATGGTGTCACCTGTTGATATGCTTCGCTGAAATCAATCAAGGCCGTTTTAAAGTGTGGGATTATGTTTTCTGCTTTCTAAATATAGGTCTTAGTTAGGACTGGAAGGTACCAACCTCTTAGGCTACTTATAAATGAGAAATAAAATACAGTTATTTTTTTACACTGAATTATAATGGCTCAGGTTTGTGTGTTTCTGTTTCTGTGTTTTTTTTTTCTTCCCCTCCTGCTGCATTAACAAAAACATTATTGTCACCAGAAGTTTTGTAAAGGAAATACCGCACAAAAGTGTATTTATCATACGTAGGGACAAGTGCTTTGAAGATGGTTTTTTTTTTTTTTTTTGGTACCGGGGATTGAATTCAGGGGCACTTGACCACTGAGCCACGTCCCCAGCCCTATTTTGTATTTTATTTAGAGACAGGGTCTCACTGAGTTGCTTACTGCTTCACAGTTGCTCAGGCTTTGAACTTGCAGTTCTCCTGCCTCAGCTTCCCGAGCTGCTAGGGTTACAGATGTGCACCAGTATGCCTTTTGAATACATTTTTAGCTTATAAACATAGGCGACTTGGCTGAAAGAGGGCTGAACTGGAATTCCGGGTTCTAGTTTTGGTGCTGGAGTTATCTGGCTGTCTTGGGGCCTCAGTTTCCTCATCTGTAGAAGTAGAGGAGTTGATAGTTGCTCAGGGGTTTAACCTGGGTGTCTAGGTGTCAGAGGCTGTGGTGACTGACCACTGGAATCATTGTCAACAATATCACGAGGCATTGCATATTGCATTTTTTTTTTTTTTTTTTTGGTAGGGAGAGGATTCCAAGATTTTGTTTGCTTAGTTTAGATTTTTACATTTTTTTAGGGCGGGTAATTGGGATTGAACCCAGGACTCATACCTATTAGGCAAAAGCATTCTACTTCTGAGCTGAGCTACATGTCAGCCCTTTTAAAATTTTGAGACAGGGTCTTGCTAAGTCGCCCAGGTTGGCAGCCTCAGCCTCCTTAGTTGCTGGGATTACAGGTGTGCACCTCTGCACCCTGACTACTTTCTTAATAGGGCCTCTGACTGACCACTGGTATTCTGGACAGTGGTGGGCCCATATGGAACATTTGCTCTGTGCTTTCCACATGCAGCATCCCATTGTTTCCTCATTATGCCCTGTGAATAGGTCCTGTTGGTTTCCTTCCTACAGTAGATGAGGGGTTATGCTCTGAGTGGTTCAGTGACTTTCTGGAGGTCACACAGCTGGTAAGTGGCAGAATAGGAGTTCCTAATTCCTTTCAGTTGCATAGGGCATAATCTTAACCTTGGTGCTGGAGTATACCTTCTCTGTTTAGTGGTCATTGTAGGTGATCTCTATGTACTTCTCCTCGTGTGCTATGAATCTGGCTGTAGGGGAGTAAAATAACTCAAGTAGATGCTAAATTAACTCTGGAGGTGCAGGATAGACAAGAAATATAGAGAATAAATAGAGGAGATATAATAAGCACAGAGAATAGTCCCACACTATTAAGATGGGGCCAAATTCTGTCTTTGTCAATAAGTGCACAGGTCTTGCCTTAACAGAGCACGTGGTTGCCTTCTGGGCTTCTGGTTTTCAGACTCTGTCCCAGCCCCTGGGATTACAGGCGTGCACCACTGCACCCTGGCTACTTTCTTAATAGGTCCTGTGACTTGCAGGATCCCTGCAGCAGTTACCATCTCTTCTTCCTGGTGGACGAAGTTCTTTTTCCCACCTGTACTGGGTGCTCATTGAACCCTTGTTTTATAGTCTGAGACAAATTCTCTAAATTGCACAGCTTGGCTTTGAACTTGGAATCTTCCTGTCTTACTTAGCCTCTGGAGTTGTTGGGATTATGTGCATGCTCTGTCACACCCAGTATTCAAAGGAAGGTATTTTTTTTTGGTGGTGCTGGGGGATTGAACCCAGGTTCTTGTACATGCACGGCAAGCACTCTACCAACTGAGCCACATCTCCTGCCCTCAAAGGCAGGTTTGAAAATGAGGTAGCACCTGGTGTCTGTACCCACATATGCACATTGGCCTCTGATTGCCTCTTGGAATCCAGAGTGTGTTTCCTGTGACACTGGTCCACATACTTGTCTAAATTGGCAGACATTTTTAGAAAGAAGAAACTTATTATTATTTTG